CTTGTTGATCAAAGTTGATTTCAGGGATATATGCATTTTCTTTCACATTTCAATGGGTTTTTGTTTTGCTTTGTGAAACACATCGTAGTCTGAGAAATATATGGGTTTTTGGTTGCATATTGCATCTGAGTCCATGTTTAGGTCTGAGAAATGCAAACTAAATAAATTCATGAAAAAAACTTGGGAGCAAATGTTGCTGTGTTGAACATAAGAAAACGTCAAGTATCCATATATGAGCAAAAACTTCCAGACTAAATTTTGGAACTTCAAACACAATCTCTTTCCATTTCACATATTTAAAAAATGAACACTGTCTTAACAACCAAGATCTGCAATGCAAACCTTGTTTATTTAGGCACAATTTCCCTAGTCAGGCATGCCTTCAGGAACTGTTTTTAGAAACTGACAAGAATTTATTCAACAAAATGAAGTCTGATACATTCTCTGAAAAGTTGCTAGCTTGATTACTCATCCATGCTTATGAATTGTTTGCAGAAACAGTGCTCATACCAAGGGTACTACAGGCAGAAATTCAATAGGTGTAACTTTACCTATCACATGAAGCTAAAGGCAGCACCTGTGGGTATTCTGCCTGTGCTTCTTCTGCAGGGCTCCTGGGAGGCATGTGATTGGTTTGCCTTATTTAAAAGCTCTTTTGGTTTACAGCAGAATTTCTCAAACAGGACATTTTCGAAAGTTAAAATTAATACATTCTGACTTTCCCAGAATTTTTCCTCATATTGGAGTGACTGGTGGGTCTGTGCTAGGAGATGTAGAACTTTGCTTCTGTCCAAAAATACCTAGTATTATTCCCTAAATTAAAATATGCTTTAACAGTGACAGCAGATTGATCTGGTTAACCTCCAGAGTCCTTTCCAACTCCTGTCATTCTTTGTGGATAGTATTGATTGCCAGTTGGATAATCATAACAAGGAATATTAGCTTTTCTTGTATGATAATTTCAGATGATTAGTGTAATTCTTCCAGGGATCAGACAGACATGAAAGCTAGGTTTGGACCTAGGATGGTTGATGTTGACAACCTTCCAGATCCAAGAAAATACTGAATGTGGAACTAGCCAGAATTTTGGATAGCATGCCATATCCACATTGTTGAAATAATGTTTGTTAAGTGTGCAGCTCTTAATAGTTGTAATTTACTAGCATTTTGGAGCTTCAGTGAAAATAGTAACCCCATAAAACAACATATTAAACCAAAAGGCCTTTTTCTTTTTATTAATTGAACATATTTATTTCTAAGATTTATTAGTTGCCCTATAGCTGAAAGCTCTCAGGGCAACATACAATAAACATAAATAAAGCCCCAAACTCACATTAAAAACTGCACAATAAAAAAAATCAATTAGAACCAGCAATCAAGTAAAAGCAGCAATCAGTTAAAAGATTGCTCGAACAGGCACTGAAAAAGAATCAAAAATACCTTGATAAAACTATACAGAATTAAAGAAGATTAAAAGGTCCAAGAGAAGAAGGTTTTTGAGCAGCACTGAAAAAACAGCAAAGTGGGAGCCAATATGACCCCTCTGGAGAGAATAGAGGATTTTTGCTGAAAAGGCTGATTCTAAGTAACCATCTGCCACACTTGGAGCAGAATAGAAACATGTAAGATGAAAACTCCTTTGTTCCCTTCCCACTGCCTCATGTCCAGTGACCTGATCATTTGCTCCCAACCACCTCTGCCCCTTGGCAGGAAGAGAACTAACAGATCAGTTGTACTTTTGTTTTTGGGGCTTTTTTAGGAGTTTGTTTCATATTGTTTTGTTTTTTGCAGAGGCAAGGCAGAGCAAAGCTGCAGTTCTGCCCACCACAAGCTTTTCCATGAAGCTTTACTGGCACACCTGGTAACCTAGATATAAAATTTGGAAAAATTGAACAAAGAACTTCCACCTGCGTCTAAGGGGGGTACTTGAAGGAGCAAGGGACAAAGGTTCTGTTATATCTTTAAAGGGGGAAAATGCACACACATTTTCCCAGAAGTGAGGCTCAGGTGGAGCAAAGGTGACAGTCATTTTTTTTAAAGCAGATTTGTTGATCTGGGTAAATGAAAAGGGGGTGGTATTGCAGTTTTCCCAACCTAACCCTAACCCTCAGCTCTGTAAAAAACTTTTCAAAATTGATTTCAGCATTGCTGCTATGGTGCTGCTTGTCCCCTCCATGGTCCCCCAGAGTTTTGCCTGAAAGCCAGAACTTCATGGACTGTAGGTCACAGTTCCAAAGCCAGGGGCCTCAGGCAGCTTAATAACTAGCTTCTTGGGTTTTCACAAGCCACAAGTCACTGTGTAAGTACTTTCCCAGATACATTATTCACTCCTATGAAATTGGATGGAAATTCATAAAATGTTTGTCATGAAACTACTTCAGGAAAAAGTAGTTCTGTCTCAAAACTATGGCTGAAGATAGATAGGCAATTCACATTGTGGTGATGGTAGAGATTTTGTCATACAGTTGCAGTGTTACACATGCCTTACACATGGCTCAGAATGAGATCAGAATATGCCAGTAGAACCTCAAAGCAAAAGAACAGAATGTATCTTCACAGGATGTATGTGCAGGATCATATAAGTCGGGTTCTGGCAACACCACAACCTATAGTGTTTTTTACCATTGTTAGTCTGTCATGTTGTCTGAGCCAGACCATAGTAATTCATTGTGGTAAGTTTGGTCTTTAGAAACCATGTTAAGAAATAATGGTTTGTTCCAAGGTTATTCTGTACCCCCATGGCTTGTCCTGTTGTCTGACCCAGGATCGTGTTTTCCACGGGCCTGGTATACAACTAGCACAGTCCTCTGGAAAGAGTGGCAACTGCAGGAGCCACTCCCTCCAGCCATCCGATGTCTATCTGTAGACCAATAAGGAAGAGGCAGGCAACATAGGCAGGGTGTTATGCACCTCAGGATTGAATTTCAAGTGCAGTGGTTGATGGGATACATGCCAACAATGGGACGACCGCCTGGGTAGGATGGAAACCACAATAAAGTAGAAATGACTTCATTGCCTTCAGGATTTCTTGCCCTGCTATGTGACTATAGTCATGGTCAGACTCTCCCCCCACAAGTGGAAAATCAGGACAGTAAGCTTTAAGTGCCTGTCTTGATCTGTATGTCTCCTTCCTGAAGGAAGCTGCATCTTTTTTGACATAAGATGGCCTTTTCACAATGGTATCATCTATCAGAAGTCTGAAATGGTATACTCCACCCCTCTGCTTTGATATCTACCCAGGGATGCACAAGCTTTGTTCAGTCTGTTCCGTCTGCATCTCAGAGATTGTCAGGCAGCTTTCATTCCATCATCTGCTCTTGGACATAATTGGAATTTGCACAAATGTATTCCTAAGCATTTGTGCAAATTTGCACCTCCAAAAATGTATAAATCCTCCCTAATATATAATGCCCACAAATATGTAATTTGATACTTTAGCATATTTCAGGAACAGGCAAATCCCACCTAATTTTTTAGCTTTAATTTCCCATGTTTATTATGATTACATTTGCATGACTTTGCAGACATTTTTCCCATTCTGAAATGGGAATTTCAGAAACTGCTGCAGATACTACCCCACAGCATATAATCAGGGTTGTGCTTTGGCATCTACCTGCTATGTCTATAGATCAGCAAAAAAGTTTCTTTTGTGTCTGTTAGACACCACAACATATCCTTAATAAGGGATTGTCTAGTTTGATGAACTGCTTGGTGGTGCAATATAGTAAATGCTTCTTTTAACATCTATTTTGGGAGTGCTCAGTGCTCGGCACTCACTTCTCTGGGAGAGGAAGGGCTTACACAGATACATTTGGGGAAAGTGCTTAATTGTCACTGATATGCACACTCATTTAAATTATTTATCTTCTTCATGGCTATTAACAAATGGTCAGGGTAAATAGATACTCTGTACTCTCAACTGCTAAAATACTGATATTACTAAGTAGATTGAATAAACACTCACCTCCTCCAATCTGACAACACTCAATATTTGAAAAGGAAGCCTATAGATAACCCCTTTTAGTAGATACTTCTTTGGATATTTTGTTTGGTGTTGAGCTTTCCTTGTTGGAATAATAGCCTATGCATAATTGCTGGAAAATTGCATGCATTTTCATGCAAATCCATACATTTGCATTCAAATTTTCATGCAAATCCATATATTTGCATTCAAATTTTCATGCAAATCCATATATTAAAAGAGGGATTGTTTTCAAAGCCATTTTTGTGTGGGGGGGGGAGGGATCCTGAAGGCTCCAGATTAGGGGCCTTTTCACAGGCACCACAGGCCCATGTTGGACGCCCCTGGCTTCAGGCATAGCTGTATGTCATCCTCAGAAAATTAGACTTAGCTAAAAAGAAAAAAAGAAGAATTCAGTTGAAGTCTTAACTACAAAACAGCTATTTTTGTTCTCAGTTTAAAATTATTTTGCTCTGCTTCCCATCCCATCTGCAGCTATGGCTGTGGGTGATGTCTCAAAGGAAGGAAAAAAGATTAAAAACTCAACATCCCTGGAAAATGAAATTCTTTCTTTGTCCCAACTGACTGCTTCTTGGTATTTATTCATGCACTGATATCCTTCTTCCTCAGTCCTGTATATTTGACACAGCTTACAATAGCAGGGAAAAAATTAAAAGCCTGAAAATGTTGAAAAACAAGCACAAATGAATACATCTAATGATAATAAAATTCATCAGGCATGAGAAAATTGCAGCATTAAAAGCATAATGAGAGGCATTCCAAGGTGTGCTGTTGCTAACTTCCCATATTAAGGGAGTGAGGTGGGGGATTCTGGCCACATCTCTTATTTTTATGTTAATTTGCAAGTATGTGCACATTTAAAATGTCTACTTATAGCTGAGACTGCATTTAAAAGAAAAGATCGGTTGGTACATGAACTAGTGAAAAGGACAAGAAGGAGACTAGCTTGGAACAGTAGGCATTGGAAGAATGGAACATAACCAAACCACCAGAATACTGGAGCATGTCCTCTGTGAACATATCTGACATCATTTAAAAAGTAAGAGACAACTTTGACCCCTGGACTTCTATCCTTTTCATAGGTTTCTTGCTGTGTATGCTAATCTCTGAGAAGAAGAACTCATTTTTCAAGGAAGGAATGTGGTTGACAGGAACATGTAGACTTGGCTATTAGCACCAAGGGCCAAAGCTTATGTAGCTCTTTTATTGCAACATTCATTTCACAGCGAATACCTTCTTCTTCTTTTTCCCTTGAGGTCTTTCATGTTGTTCCTTTTGCAGTGCCCCAAGGCAGACTAAGAAATGATGAGAGACATTATGTGTTAATACTGCCATAACACGTTGACAATTGCCATGCTTTTCATCTGAGTGTTGGAAAAGGAAAATTCCTCTTCCAAATATGCTCAATAACCCAGAAATTGGCCCTGTAATAGCCACAAACCACACAGAAGAAAATTCAGGGCAAAAAGTGTTACTGGGGATCCAGGAGTTAGAGATAAACAGAATCTGAATGAAAGCATTGTTCATTCCAAGGCATTTGCAGAAATGAGGACAGTTACAAAAGGACAATTTTATAGAGGGCTTATTTCTTGTAATGAAAGGACTGTGGAAGTCATCTAGTCTGTAACTCCCATTCAGCACAGGATCAGCAATGCAGAATGTAACTGCAGCATTCCTGACAAGCTCCCTAGGTCTGTTTGCATGTCCTCAGGCAAAGGAAAATTCATCATCTCTTAGGCCCTCTGTTCAGCTCATAGAATTAGAGAGCCCGATGTTTAGCCAAAGTCTGCTTCCCTGCAATCTCTATCCATGGTTCTAGTCCTTGAGCAGACAACAGCTCATTCTGTCTTCTGTATGATAGCCCTTTAGATTCTTGAATACAGCCATCATTTTTCTCCTTATTTTTCTCTTCTCTGGGTTAAACATACACATCTCTTTCCATTGTTCTTCATAGGATTTAGCTTCATCACTGCTCAACCATCCTGATCCCTCTCCTCTGGAATGCTCCAGTTTGTCAATGTTCTTCTTAAAATGGAGCTTCTAGATGTGGTCTGACCAGTACAAATGTCACTTCTGGGGCCAGCAAGATACTGTGATTTTGTTAAAGCAGCTGAAGACTGCATTCAGTTTTTAAGCAGTCGCATTTCACTGTAAGCTCATTTTCCTGTCCCACACAAATTCTGGAATAGGAAATCTTCTAACCATGTTGGATTATGCAGAAGAAATTGGTGCATCAGTTTTTTATTTGTTAAATGAAAGCTTTTCTAACTATTGCAGTTGGACTTGTGCCCACGGATAATTTCCCTCAGTCCACCTGTCTTTCTTCCTTGCCTCTTTCTTGAACCAGAGTGTTCTCCCTTGAAAGATATGATGCTTAACAAAGAGTGAATTATGCAAGGTACAGCAGTTAACACTTGATCATAATATTTGTGACACTGCTTATGAAACAGCTATGGAGAAAGAATTGAAGCAAACATTTTCCTGGCCCTGTGCTGCCAGATTTTGAAAGAACATAAAATCTCTGTTTGACCCACCCTAAATAACTTCTCTGAAAATAATTTCCAACTAGTACTTCAGAACAGGGATTAATCAGAATAATTGCAATCCTTGCCCTACTAATTCAGCAATAAAGGTAATACAAGAGCATAAAAACAGACTTATGAGGTCAGGTGTGTAGCCAGCAGAGCTCACAAACATACCACCAATAGTAGCCAGTACAAAATTCCAGGCAAAAAGCATATAAAACCCAAGACACGAGTTACTTACTCCAGATATGCCAAGGACTCTTCACTCCAACAACATATGCAACACATCAGAAGAACCTGTAATGTTACACATCCTCATTGTGATAGAGTCAGAGGCCTTCAGTGGGAGTGTGCCTTAGCTGAGCAAATAGAATGATCCTACTTATTTCCTTCATTTCAATTCAGTGAAAAAGAATGAAAAGAAGGAATGAAATCCCATTTGTTTATTGCTGCAATTGCTTCTATGCAACTGGGACTCTGTTTTACTTTGGCCACATTGCCCCATGCATGCAGTTCACAGAAAGGGCACAAGAAAGGTGAGAGTGAGAGGAGTGTGACTAATAAATACGCTTTGTTTTGCTAGAAATCAGGGTGGCCACTGAAACATCACCCAAAGAATATGCTGATATGCATGAAATGTGCATAGTTGTATAGACACAAATTCAGGGGTAATTACTAAGTGGATAATATGATGATTATCACTCACTATGGAGGGCAGCTGACTAGGATCTCTTCTTGGGAGCTAGTAGCTAAAGGGTTGCTACAGGACTCCTACGGGTCACCTTTCTTGTGTATTTTACCTTTAGATCAGGCCTGGACTGGGCAGCTCATCAAAGTGAAGATTGTCATCTGACAACCCTTCAGATTAAAGCCTGCTCCCAGTGGAGCAAGCCATATGGGCTATTTCTAACAGAATTGTTATACTGCGCATATGTGTGTGTGTGTGTGTGTGTGTTAATTGTTAATTGCCTATAATGTTACTGATATTTGGAATAAGGCAGGAATAGTGGACTGCTGGAACATTTCTTGAAATTCAGATTGAAAATGCTGCAGAAGTAGCAAAAGTCTGCTTAGGAGTAAGGAGCCACCATCTTGTCCTTCACTGCAGACAACAAAATATCTTGGGCCAGCTCTGATGAGCAGTAGAAAAGTCTTTCAGCCAAGTCACGTCAGGGCTATGGCATCAGAACTTGGAAGGGTCAGATGAGAAAAAAAAAAAAAACCAAAAGCAAAAGCAGAACACTTAAAAGGATCAGGTTTGTGAATCATGTTCTTCTGAAAAAAGCATAAGTGGCCAGCACTTTTTCATTTCTAAAGAAATACTTGATGGAAGGGGAATGTGGTTGTGGTCAAGGCTTATTAAATCATGTCAAGGGAGAGTAAGACAGAGAGAATGAATAGGAAGCCAACGGAAATTATTCATCCTCTTTCAAAATGTATGAACTTAAGGTCATCTAATAAAGCTGGCCAGCAGTGGACATGCAGTCCATTCAAAATGGCATCAGGAACATGATGGTGAATTGACATAGATGGAAGTAATGGGTAGAGGTCAGAAGCACTTGGGCACTAGAGAACGTCACTATATTCTCACTATAGTGTCTGGTCAAAATGAAGCGGAACTGTGAGCAAAGAGGCCCCAAAAGCAGGGAATACAAGAGTGGCTAGACGAGTAGGTAGATCAAGGGATCCAGCAGAAGCTGGCTGAGGCTCAACCAAGACATCTTTGCTCCTTGAGGCCAAGGACAGGATGGCATCTACCCACACCCAGGCATTCTATGCAACATTCCTATCTCCAAATCTAAATATTTTTGAATTGAGCAATACATTGAATTCATATTACTTTTAACCAATGGGCTTCATATTGTCTGGATCACTTTAAATTCAAATAATATGCCAGCTTAATGCACTTGATGACCAGTTTCGACTCCCTAAAATAGGATGCATTTTCCAACTTTTGAACCCCACACATAGCAGGCAATGCTTATTTACTATTTAATTCTTTACACTCTAAAAGCAGCGTTCTGCTATCCCTAAGACATTATTCATGCTCTTTCCACACTAAGTTCTCACAGGAAAGCTTGCCAAACCACTGTTTTCTGATTCCTTAGCCAAGTCAGAGTTTTCATTGATTGATCACATGATCCTTTACCCCTTGGTCCAACATGGGTAGAGGTAACAACTGACACAGTATGCAGTGTACTACATTAGATGGTCTGGGATCCACTTAGTGAGTCCTTGAGACTAATTTAATGTGGCATATAAGTTGAATAAATAATAAATAATTAACATGCTTGTTTGATTTGTCCAGTAGTTGCCCACTGTAATGGCTCAGTGACACAGTGGCTCAATAACATATCATTGTGGCTGGACAACTTCTGAGGGCACATGCTAAGATGTTCTGGGAGCCTAATTATTATTCTTATTATTGGACTTTCTTTCTTTCTAGGAATACTGAGTCATGAGCCATGTTCCCAGAAATGATATTCAAGACCTCATAGGCCATGAATAAATACTGCACAGACCCAGCAGAGTTTATATAAAAGGAAAAATATACCTCATTAGCACTGAACAAAAGCTACTAATTTTTTTCTGATTTTTTTTAGCAATATTAAAATATGTGTCTCTTTTTCGACACTTGTGAAAATATTTGCTTGTTCATTTAAATTGACTTCCTTTGACTTCAATGGCATCCCTTTGAAGCCACTATTAAGGCAAGGGCAGTCACACAATTAATACTAGAAGAGGGAAGCAGATAAAGAAGAAAAATGGAGCTAAAAGTATTGCACCATGGAAAACAGTGGGGCCAAAGAGAGCTAAAAAACTGATTATTTTAACAAAGAGTACTTTTCAAGGAAATTGCCACCCCACCCAAATTTCTCTTTTTAACTCCAAAATTGAAAGTGGAAGAATTTAATGACAGGCTGAGACTATACAACTTTACTCGGTTTTTAGGGTACTGAGATACACATATCAAAAAGGCTTTGACAAGGTCTCACCAGATAGTGGACTCCATTCTGATAGCACACAATAGATTTATAACTAACAATGTATTTTACATACCATACAATGTATATGTGGACCTTTCTCCCCTTGCTTGTAATAAATGGCCACATTCTGAAAAACTTGCCCATTTAAAAAATCAGGAAAAATCCTCTGGGGTTGTGTGTATATAAGAGAAAGATCAGCAGCAGTACTTTCCTTAGGCAGCCTCAGGGCAGCTGTGTCAGTCCCCTCATTCTGAATGTTAAAAAGGGACTGGTGGAGGCATTGCTGACCCAAGAAGGCAAATCCTAGACAGTTTGGGCCCAGGATACTTGAGAGACAATCTCCTTCCACACAAATCATGCACTGAGTAGCATGAAACCTTAACATGTCAGAAATGAGGCTGGGATGAAGGGAAGGGCATTACTCTTGGCTGTACATTAGGTAGTGGGACATGTCCCAGGAGATCTGCCTGGATCCTTCTTTAATAGTATGCAGACATTGCAGGTAGAACCTCAATCAAAATATTGCAATCTGGACAACTCTTGGGCAGGATTCTAGTCACTCTTTTCCAAAACATTGCATTCTACAGGGAAAAGGGCAGAGTCTGCAGAGAGAAAACAAGACTCCTCATAGAGATATTACACTGTCAAACAAAAGATGCAAGCTTGCTACAATCCTTAGCTTCATTAGCTCTAATCTCGGGGTCCCTTAGCAGCTAGTACAATTACATGTGTGAAATACAGGAAGGCAAAGATCAAATCCAGCATCTTCTCTCACTTGCTCTT